TCTCTCTCTCTCTCTCTCTTTGTCTCTTTCTTTCTTTCTTTCTTCCATTCCAGGAAATTGAAAAGCGGAAAATTGGGAGAAGAAAGGTATAGCCCAGAGGGTATTTTCACCGACCATCTATTCATCTGTTATAATTTGTGAGAAGTGAGGGCTTCACAATTTTTCAGAGTTTTCCCCCTTCTTGACAGACACGTTAGGTGCACAGATGAGTTGAATAATTCCTCCGGGAGAAAAACAAAAAACAAAAACAAACAAAAACAACCAACCTAACAAAAACAAAACAAAACAGATGCGCAGTCTTTAGTGACGTTCTGGTACGTGTCTCAATAATATTCCCGCCTCAACTGGACTTAAGACGTCAGAGATTTGGGGTTCGGGGTGCGACGTTGCATCCTTGGGACAGTCACTTTACACGAATTTCCCATTTGGCTCAATCCTTTCGGAGATGGACCTTAAACTCGGAGGTCCCGCCTCTTAAGTAACCTAATAGTATTGATAGGGATGTTAAATCTATAGCATTTCAGTAAATGCTAGAAGTACACTATAAAAGTAAATCTCCCCCTCCCCTTTTCCCAAATTCTTAAAGTAGTGTCAAAGCGTCTTTAGTGTATGACGTCACGGTGACCTAAGTGTGGCTACACAGTGGTAGGAGACCCCGGATGTTGCACTAGGTCAAGTAAGTTTTGGAAGAGGGGTTAAAGTTACCAAACGAAGAAGTAGACCAACACCTGCACACCATTCCCAATACTTAAGCCTTACCATCATTGCCATCATTGCAATCATCATGATTATCATCATCATGATTATCATCATCATGATGATCATCATCATCATGATGATCATCATCATCACCATCATCATCAGCAGCAGCAGTAGCAGCAGCAGTACAGACCAAACAATATTCCTTCTACTTGTTTCATTTATCTTGAGGCACAACAATTTGTACTACTTTGGCTTATTTTTGCTTATCTTACACGTATGGGTACCAAATCAGACACGGGATCCCCCCCCCTCCCTCCCCCAAAGCAAACCCCGATTTAAAAAAAAACAACAACAAAGAATTAAACAAAGAAAAAAATATGTGGTGAAAGTTTACTTTCGTCAAGATTACTATGGTTTGACACTCGGGAAATGGTATAGCGTCAGAGGTTGTGTTTGAAACCGAGTAGAGGGGAAACAGTCGTTCACTCAGCACGTATGTTAGAGGGAGCGGGTTGTGGTTGGATCCAAGCGTATAATCCGTCACTGCAGGAAGTGAGGGAGACTCTTGTCTCTGGGAGAGAGCGGTGTCTCGCTCAACTCAATCTCTGTGTTTGTTGGAATGTGTTGTCTATGAAGCCGCTGTTGTTTTCGGAATTGCATTTATTGTCTTTGTGGATGCTCTTGTTGTTGTTGCTGTTGTTACTATGACTGTTGCTGCTGCTGCTGCTGCTGCTGCTGCTGCTGCTGAGCTTGTTGTTGTGGTTGTGGTTGTTGTTGTTGTTGTTGTCGGTTTTTTATTGTTTCCTTAATGGGCTTGGCGGACTCCACAAAGAACTCTTCGAGCGAGAGCGAGGCTCTTTTTAGGCTCCATTATCAATATGCTTAGCGGCACCTCTACTCGTTCAAATAACTCCAGCCGAATTGCCATTGTTCCTGGACATTCAAACATATGTTTGACATCCTCCTTTTCATGGCTGCATCTTCGGCAATAAGGGCTGAGCTCTTCATTTACAAAGTTCTTATACCATCTTATGCTCCAATGATGGTCCGACCGCAGTCTCGCTAGCTCAACCTGGTCCCAGCGACATGTGATAGATTTTTGTTCTCGCTTATAGGAGTACCCAGAATACACAGAATACAGAATGTTGTTGTTGTTGTTGTTGTTGTTGTTGTTGTTGTTGTTGTTGTTGTTGTTGTTGTTGTTGTTGTTGTTGTTGTATTTGTTTTTGATGTTGTTCTTGTTTTGTTGTCACTAGAGGCTTTTAAAAGGTTATTGTTGTAGCCGTCGTTTTTTTGTGCAAGACGTTGGCCTCGTTGGTACCATGCCTGACTACGATGCACATGGACCAGGTTTGAACCCACCATAGGGTATTCTCTGAATTGAGTTGTTTTACTACAGTTCAAGGAAGATCTTTCGACTGAGCCATCATCTCCGATAGGTCGGATACTTGTGGGTGGAGATCTATAGACATTAGAATTTTGCAAGCAGAATTCCTCATTTGGGATTTCGAACCAAGGTCATTCACGTCGAAGTCCAATAAGTTACGCGCTTTGTAAACGGCTGAGTGCCTACTTTGTTTTTTTAACTCAAAGAAATAATGTGGTGATCTTACCCTTTTTAATCCTCTGCATGTAATAGCGAAGTGCTCATCGCCATCTTAAAACTACAAAGTTCTATCTGCTCAGTACCTAGTTCTAGTAAGTTTTGAGAAATATGACGTACAAAAATTGAGTTACACAACATGTCCATTTTTTCCAATGAAATTCTTCTTTGAATATAATGATAACAACTCCGAATAATTTTACGATTAATTTGATAGAGCAGATTTGGTTTCTGATCTCAGGGTCTTAGTAACTCAAAACGGCCAAAAATGTTAGAATGAACTGTGTATTGCTAAGGTAGAGTAACAGCTAACCACTCCATCACTGATGCCAGTTACATTTTGCCTATAGATGCGGATATCTTCTTTCCATCCTCAGAGTACACTAACGTACGACAAATAACGTGTGTCACGACGCAGTGGAAAAAGGCTCTCGTCAATTTTTGGGCTTGTAGATTTATTGGTATCAGAAAACTTTTTCATTTGTTTTACTTTCGATGAAAAAATATATCTTTAGACAGTTCAGCTTGAAGGAAGTAGGGTTGCTTGGTTTCTGAGACAAAATTAGCGAGAAAATGGTCGTCAAAGTTAGGTGATTTCTTAAGAGTCCTTGGAAACTGCAAATCTACATTTTTGTTCCTTAAATCAACAGGTTTTTAAAAGTAAGATCCACACAGAAATCTGTTTTTAAATTGGTCTGAAAGGTGATGAGTAAAAAAAACCCAAAATGATTCGATCAAAATTGTTAAACCGGAAGAAAAATGCCAGTTTCTGCAATTTAATTATTTTGACGAGCGCCTGATTTCACCACGATGCCTCACAAAAATATTTTCTTTCCATTCTGAGAATATTTTTATAGAAACAAAATACACTGACGTACAATATTTTTTTTTATCATCCTCAGATAACTTTATCTAACGTCTGCGAGAGGAGTAACGGTCTGCATCTCTAGACCCCAGAAAAACAAAAACAAAACATGACAAGATTTGTAGGCCTGGACCAAGGTGAGATTTGCTGTGGTTCGAATCCTTAAAGGGGCTTTCTTGTACTTGGAATTGTTTGGTTCCATTGCGAACGTTGATGTTTCACCCCACCCCCTTTGTTTTTTGTTGCTTTTACTCAATCGACACAATTTCGAACATTTAGGAGGCAGGCTGATTTGACCTCGCCTGTCAGGGGCAACCCGGGTTGAGAGTGCTATATTATCATCCCAATAATAAGACGGCGATAATCCAACAAAATTTGACACACACTCGAATCAAACTCACATTTTGCATGCAACGGCAAACCCTTAACCGCTACATCGGAGCACCACTGGATTTTTAAAGAAGTTTTCGTGGTTGATCAAGGACAGCTCGCTCGTTGTCGGAGATCGACGTTGAAGTTTTAGATTTCATTATCTCTTGGTTATTTCTTTCTCTTCTTTTCTCAATGATGTCGTTATCAAAATCCAGAGATGTCAAAACTCAAGGTTGTCATCATTGCTTTGCATCACTTTTTTTTACCTCCGCCCCCTTCCTCCTTTTGCCATGTATTCATCATCCAACTTTTCTTCCTCTTCTTCTTCCTTTTTCTCTTTCTTTTTCTTTCACCGAGAGGCATCGTCTCGGTCTTCCTCATTCCACTTTCCCTCCCAAACGTTCTCCACCTCCTCTTCCTTTTCTTCCTCCTCCCCCTCCTTTCCCTGCTGCTGCTCATCCTCCTCTTCCTCCTCTTCCTCCTCTTTCTCCTCCCCCTTTTCCCTGCTCGTCCTCGTCCCCGTCCTCGTCCTCCACCCCTCCTCCTACTCCTCCTCCACAATTTTTATCTTTTCACCCCATCCTATTCCCTTCTCCTACTCTCTCATCACCCAACCATTATTTCCTCCTGCTCTTCCCCATTCTACTGCTCCCCCTTTTCCTCCTCCTCCTCCTCCTCCTCCTCCTCCTCCTCCTCCTGCTTTTCCTGTTTTTCTTATCCTTCCCCTTTCCCTTATTCCTCACTGTTTAAACATTAAACATATCAAGCGTGTTTTTTTTTACAACTTCCGTGTCCATCCTTGGCCTTTTCCCGTTTTCGCTCTCCTTTCCCAATTCTCTTGCTCACACATCCATGTTGTAAATTATTGAGAGAGCATATTTTTACACCTCGACATTCACATCCAAATTCTGTGACCTTTTGAGCTTCAACGTCAATTTTCTTAATCCTTTAGGCTACGCACAACCAATAGTTTTGCAATGGGTTTTCATAAAATTAATTATTGGCTGACAGCTCTCGATTTTTTTTTGGTATCTACCAGCGTCTTTGGGGGAAATGTTGAAATGTTAATCTTTGACGTTTCATTAAAAAGACGACTTGGTTTCGATTCCGAAGTAGGGGAGTTATTTTATGGTGTAGATCTATTTCTAGATGTACAATTATTTCATTTGTAAGTCGAGCGTTTGGGTTTCTTTTAATGTGCGTGGATTGTTGAAGGTCACCATTCGCACTTCTTTCCTATTTTTCGATTGCTTCTGTCAGCCTGTTTTACGAGGTCGTATTTTCTTACCGTTTTCTCTGTTGCTTCTGTTTGTATTTCTTACTAAATGGATGTTGCTGTGTCCATTTACTTCTCTTTATTCAAACAAAAGAAAAAGCCTTAGTTGTATGCTTCCTTGTAATCCCCACAGTTAGAGAGCTTCTTCCCGAGTTCCCATCACCCTTGTTCTGATGTGGTCAACATGGCCCGATAGCCTGGCCTGTCACAGCCCGGACACACACACACACACACACACACACACACACACTCTTCCTGACTAGGAAATCAAACCCATGTCTACAGCCAACTACACCGAGGAACCTAACCGTCACACCACATACATACAGTTACAATATCCCTAGGCCCGGTAGGCCGGTCCCACAAGTCACAAGTCCCAAGTCCCAAGGTCATGTGGCGTAGCAGAGCGGGGTGACCTCTCAACTCTGACCTCTTAATGTCGTCGTCGTCTTGTTTTTTGTCTTGAGGTCGGGAGGGGGAAACCCCGGGATACAATGATGTAATATTA